CATGTACGTCTTCGCGTACTTGGCGATGCTTGTTGCCAAAGGCATATTTGAAACAGTTACACTTGGCTTTCTCATAGTTGGGCACACTCATGAAGACGTCGATGCCATGTTCAGTCACCTGGCAGAGTCCCTCCGGCGATCCAATGTCCTCACCCTCCCACAACTCTACGATGAATTCCAAAATTGCATCAAAGGCACTGTTGAAGCTGCACTTGTGATAGAGGTTCCAGACTTTAAGGGGTTTGTAAGAGGCTACATCAGGGACGGATCCGAAACGCTGATTGGCCACTCCAAGCCTCTTCAGTTTCATTTCAGCATGCGTGACGGTGCTCCAGTGATGAGGTACAAGATGAGAGAATGGGACATAGTGTGGCTGCCAGTGGACGGCATTGAACTCTTCAAGAGAGATCCCATAACTGGGGAACCTATGATTCCTCAGGGTTCCCCACGGCCGATGCACCCGGATGGACTCAAAGACCAGGAAAGTATAGTGGCCGGGATTAGACAGCATATTGCCTTCTGGAAGAGGGGGTTGGTGTTTGGTGGAGAATCCTATTTTAAGAGGTGCAAGCCTTTGCTCGAATACTGGGAGAAGATTATATCTGCTATCCAAAATGGGCCGGTTGTATATGAAGAATTGGAAGAGTCCTTTTGGCCAGAACCCAGAGCACCAGATAGTAGCGGAACAATGTCCTCTGGAAATGCAGTGACAGATAACGATGTTGAGGATCACTATTGTGGGCTGAGGAACAAGAAGCCGGATTCAGCATTCAATCCAGTACAGGTCTGCAAAGGAATGGTCGTGCTTGTCAGACCCAGTAATAAAAAACAAATGATATGGGTGGGGCGCTGCATCATTGATGCAGAGGAGGACGCGGAAACTAACTCCTTCAATGTAACTGTGGAGTGGTTCAAGCCAAGTTCCGGATATACGAAGGATTGCCTAGAAAAGAGATGGGTGCTGAATCCAAGGGATCCCAGCATGAGCATATCGGTGGATAATGTTGTGCATGGTTGGATGCGGAAGCAGAGTGCCACCATCACCTTGCCAGACCATGCAAGAGATGCAGCAAGAGCATTCATAACCCGGGTTCAAGGTGAGATTCATTAATATTCCTTTACTAAGTTTCTAATGTATTTTATTTCAAGGTGAACAATCCGAATCTGAATCAGAGGAGGCGTGATGGCATGTGGCCCTTTGCACTAGTATATCTTAATACCGGTCTGAGAAATAGAATGGCATGTGCCCTCAGGCCTTTTACTAAATCACCTTTGAAAGAAATGCAAGCCTCTATGTCGTAAAAAAAAGGTACTAGAGAAATTCCTTAATAATATGAATGTTATTTAGTTTCATGAAAATACACTAAGGGTCAAATGAGTTAAATGACTTCTCCAGACTAGCAATGCCTCTTGCTACACCTTCACAATTAGATTCGTTAGAAAAAGATAACATTGAATAATATCTAAATGTTCTCACCATTAAGTTATATGTCTGGCTAATAGGAATGACGTTCATCTTGGAAAGCTCACCACATGCTCAATGAACAAACAAATAGTGTGTGCGCGCATGCCATCGCTCTTCTTTAGCTTCAGATTCGGCTTGTTCACCTTGACAATGAGATTTATTATACAACCAAATGGACTCAGTCTGGACACAAAGTCACCGCGCTAGTCACCATGCCCTAGATATGTCTAGCCCCTGGACAAAAAACATATAATTTCACGTCATTTTCAAATACTTGAAAATTTGTACCTAGTCCCATTTTACTGAATAAATCCCACTTTAACGAAATAGAGCTTATAGACCCAAGATGGAGTCCGAGATGGAGTCCAAAATGGATCTGAGATGGAGTCCGAAATGGAGTCCGAGATGGATCTGAGATAGAGTCTGAGATGGAATCTGAGATGGACTTGAGATGGAGTCCGAGATGGAATCAAGACCGAAACTGAGACCCAGTCCGAGTCCAAGTCCAAGTTCGAATACTAATACAGGCTATTGGGTGAAAGCCCAAAGCAATCGTTCCCTTGGGGGGGGGGAGCCTATAGGGGGTTCCAAAAGTATAGTAGGGAGAGTGTGGAGTTGGACCTAGTGGAGCCAATTTGGAGCTAGTTTGGCCTAGGAAGGATGTACCCAAGTGTTGGGTGATAGGATAACCACTAGGAAGTCTAAGGCTAGAGTGAATACGGAGTATCAAATGGGGTAACTTAATGAGGTGTTCAAGAGCCAGCTCTAGTTCCCCTGGGAGATTGAATGGTCAATGCTCCCAGTTCAAGTGTGAGTGGCACTACCTACTTGGATACTTAGTATGGCTCAACAGAACCTCGCTCTAAGCCCATGGCTAGAGCATCCAAAGGTGGAAGGTGGGGAGAGTACCCATGAGGCTTGTGTAAGGCCATGGTGTTCCGAAATGTTGTCCCAAAGTCCCAGACTGTGAAAAAAAGAGGAGTAGTCCTTTAGTGCAGTGACTAAAGATATGGTCACACAGTGAGGAATCCCTAGAGGACAATGGGACTTAGAGGTCGGGCTTACAAGCCTTGTTTTAATGGCAGAAACACGGCCATGGGCAAAAAGGGATTTAGTGGGGACTAAAACAGGGATATTGGGGAAGATTGTTCTCCATATCTGTGGGCATCCTAAAGATGTTAAAGAGTGGATATACGATGATCACTCATGGATAGATGGCCAAGTCTTAAAGAGACAGGACTATGATACATGTGGTATTGGACCACTAATATGGCAAAGGTGATTGAGCATGGTCTTAGAGTAACGGGCTAATATGTCGGTGGTACCTTTGAGTGCCGGTTATGGGATCGAACACGTGGAGCACTTGGACCAAGTGCAAAAGTCAAGTGGCATGGATGCCATTCTCGGGGCTAGCAAGCCCCAAAATCCTGAATTGGACTTATGGAGGTTGTAAATAAGACTCCTCCAAGTGGTTGAAGGTGTGGTTAAATGACTAAAGTAGAATGGAAAAATTAATCACTATTTTTATTCATAAACCCTTTCTCTTTATATTTGAACTACAATTGTTTGAGGGCATGAATGGAAGTTAAGAGGGCTCTCAACTCTCTAAACACCCTACTTCTTAAATCTAACCCAACCAAAAAAAATTAAATTGCTAGATATCAATATTAATGATTCTTCTAACCAACTAATATAGTCAAATTTGAGACCTCTTTAATACCAAATATAAACTCATGAAATCAAAATTCCTAAAAGGACATAAAGCTTAATACTATTTAAACTCAAAAAACATGTAATCCTAAAATTTTTAAGACCTCTGCTAGATGCATATGCCTAGGTGGGGCACCTTTAACTGAATAAAAAAAAATGCATTTTTATTTATGAACACCTTCCCTTCATATTTTGAACCATAATAAATTGTTTTTCAAATTGTTCTTTTTAGTGACTTACACAAAATAATGTAGTGTCAAATTTATAACATCTATAAAACAACACTCCCGTCAGTGGCACTTGTAGTGGAGCATAGGGTGGTGAGTTTACCACATGCTCCAAGCATCTACATAGGTGGCACTTAAGAGAAATCTTTTGCCAAAATACATTAATAATGGCTAACTATCAAAATGTTTGAGCTTATTTTATCCGATTCACATTTACGTTTTTTTAGAATGTTGCAGTTTATAGTAAAGCAATATAGCTTTAGAAATCATAAAATTTAGAAACTTTGACTTAGGTACTTATATATTTCAATATTTTAAAGTTAATCTTAGGTTTTCTTTTTATAATTTGACAAACTCATAGGCTTGCTGTGTCAGCAGATGCCAAGTCAAGATATTCTAGGGAATCTAAAGAATATTGCTGGGTGACGCTCTTATCACCCCCCTCGACAAAATCGGCAGCTTGAAGGGGAGCTTCATGGAAGAAGTGGGAAGGATTGCAGAAGCTAATGCTAGCCCTGGCAGAGAAGCATTGAGGCTTGTCGAAGTGCTGATTACGCCTTTCACTTTTGTGGCTTCTACATGCCTCCAATCTGGAATCTCCCTCATCAAAGAAGATGCAACGCCAGTGGAAAAGGGGCGCTGCTTCCACTTTCTTCTCGCTGCAGCCATCTCAGTGATTGGATTAGCATGGTGTCTAATAGCGATCGGTGAGAATGAACAAGGAAACACTTCTGAGGTCAAAAAGCTCATGATCTCTATTTGGATGATCTTCTTTATGAGCTTGTCCGTGATGATGACACCACTCTTTTTCAGCCTCCTCTACATTGTCTACGACGTTAGCAACATGATCGCAACGTGGTCAACCGTGGGTGCATTTTTACTTCTTGGAATTCTAATCTTCGTTACTTCCTTGAAAAAGTTGTTCCAAAGGATTCCACTGAGAGGAACTATTTTCGCCATCATCTTTCTTGCTAATGGGTATGGGTACAGTCTATACAAAAAGTGAAGAAAGAACACAAGAATTCCATTTCGTGTGGTAATCGCCTACAAAAAGTGTAAAAGAATTTCATTTCTTGTGGTAAAACATCCAAAAGCTTTTGTTTGTTCTAACTAGCAAGTCGCTGTCTCTCCCTGCGTTGGAGGATTCTTCTTGCTCTTGGATTTCTTGTCCTTTCTCCGCTTCTCCTTCACGTCCACCCAGGTGGAATCGGGGCCGTGATCGTCCGCCACCGCTGACGAGCTTGCCTGGCTGTGCCCGCGCTTGAGGAGCGTCGCCCTCCTTGGCTTCGCGTCTTTGGAGTGACGCGGACTCGAGTGGCGTGGAAAACTCCTCCGACGGCGTCTGATCTCATCAAAGCGAGTGAAAGTCACGACTGGCATGGTGCCAAGTCAAGAATTGATAGCAGGGGCGGAGGGAGGAAGATGGTGAGGAGGTGGAAATTTTGAAACTGCATGCCTTGCATTACATAATGTCTCATGCTTCTCGATGTAGAAACAGAAGAGAGATAGATAGATAGTTCGTGGGCTGCAGCAACACCACGAGTGGGCGGCGGCGCCACCAGCGGCGCCGTTGGGCATAGATCACGGTGGTGCTTTCTCTCCTCCTCCTGACAGCCTCCAGCGCCTTGACCTTGTCCACTCTCCAAAGGCCACTCCACGCATCACGCTTACAAGCCCTGGCGCAGTGGTGCTCTGCCGATTGGAGTAGAGGCCGCCATGGATTCTCCCGCAAGGGCCTCAAAGTCAACTGGTAAGATTATCTTTCTTCTTCGTTTTTTCTCTAGATTTTGTTCTTGCCTGTATAGGTGCATCCAAAACAGCCAAGTTCTTGGCATATCACCCAGATGATCCGTGGATGTGAGCTCGATTTGCAGTTGTTCGCGGATTTTGCTCACGTTGGGGACGACGACGGCATTTTTGCTGGTGTGGTTCCAGGTATTTAAAAACTTGTATAGTTCATTTCGAGCTTGGGAAGTTTTCTCTTCACTTTTTCTTGATGGAGATGTTCCTTTGCTATGGAAGGATTGCCAGAAGCGTGGATGCTCAGTAGCCTGATTTAGACACCATGCCATACTGAGAAAGAAGTGGAAGCAACGCCCGTTTTCCGCTGCCATTGCATTCTCTTTGATTATGGAGATTGCCGACTCGAGGCAGGCAGGCCACAAAAGCGAAAGGCGTAATCAGCAATTTTGAAACTCAAAAGTGATCAACATTACATATTCTTTAGATTCCCTGGAATGCCTTGACTCGGCATTTGCTGCACACAAGTGACACAAGGTGTTCTGCAACTTGCCACGATAAATAATCATATGTATGTTTTGTTCATACAAGTCAAGCTGATTCTGACATTTTGCTACATGAATAGCAACGGGAAACAAAACTTCGTGATAAAACCAAATGGCAATTGAACATCTTTGATTTTATATGGGGATTTCATAATTTAGAAATAATTTCTTTGTGATTGGTCTTACATAATCCTGCAAGGTTGGTAGGCTGCTCGCTAGTGTTCTTACGATAAGCAGTTGCTCCACAGTCAGCCTCTTGCCCGGATCAACCTCCAACATCCAAATGATCAAACCCTGAGCCTCCCTCGACACACCCACGCTGTCTAAGGTATTCTGAGAACGGAACACTTCCCGGACAAGCTCATAGAGAATGAGCTCGAGGCCCCACAGAAACCACATCTTGAGTGTAGTTGCTTGGCCAAGAACATCCGGTGACAAATATACTCGCAAGCCTCTTTAGCTTGTATTGGAGTGTGCATGAGCAGAGCTCCAAGATTAGAGATCCCCACCAGCTGTACTTGCTCCTCGATTATGTTGCATAGTAAGCCTGCGGTTTGAGAAAACTATTAAGTTTCACTGTCTAGAGTTTGAAAGATTATGTAATTTGAATATTTTAAGATATTATACATCTAATAAACATTGTTTATAAATTATTAATATAATTTATAAAACTAATAGTATTGTATAGACTCTTGCCAAATTATTTTATTGTTGTTAATAATAAACTCTTAGGGTTTCAGGGCCATGGTGAGGTTGAGCTCGCTCAACGATGCTGCGCGGCTGGGCAGGAAGAATGCGGTGATCAGGCCGTCGTCCAATCTGGTACTGAGGTTCCTGGAGGTGATGAAGAAGCAAGGTATGGGGATCGGATCGCTTTGGGTGATTGGAGTGTTTCCATGTCGAAGCAGGGTTTGTGGAAAATTTCCAGAGGCACGGCGGACACACTCCAGGGCACATCACCGTCGAGATCACGGACAAGCTCAAGAAATGCGTGCTGCTGTCGCAGCGATTTGATACGAAGTCGCGCAGGATCGATGCGTGGGCGAGACAAATTCTCCCAGCTCCAGAGGTAGAATAAGAAGTATGAATTTTCTTTATGCTAAAATCCTTTTTTGTTCTTGGAAGGTTGGTCACCTTGTGATCACGAATTTCCTGGGTGTCATGGATCACCGAGAAGCCAAGAAAAAGAACCTTGGTGGCCGGATTTTGGGATACTTCTACTGATTTGGGATCGAATTTTCTGTGGCAAGATCGAGGGAGCTTTGGATCAATCGGAGGGACAAAAACCCCAGCTTTCTCAAGCAAAGTTTGTGAGGACTTTTTTCACGAGATGTTCACCGTAGACGACTGGCTTCTCCTCCTCCTTAGAGTTTCCAAGACAAAAACTTAAAGGCTCCACCTTTGTATCGAAATTTGGCTGGAAAAGAAAAAAGTTTGTCAAAAGTACACACCAAAAACTTTAACCTCGTAGAAGAATGGCACAGAAACTCTGAAATCCATGGCACTGTTGAGCACTCTGTGAAGAGTAGGCTGATATGTTCCATTGCTCCAGATCTAAAATCCCCCACAGCAAATTAAAAAGAAGTTTTTTGAGAGGAGCCTGGAAGATTATTTTGCGAGGACGTACTTTTAGCATGTCACCAATGTTGACAACAAACGTTCCTGGCACAGGATCCGCCCACAGCCACTTTCCTGAGCAGTTCTTCACCTTTAAGCACGGATCAACATAAGAAACTTAACAAAATCAAGCCAACATTCTTACCTGTAGAGCAGGAATTTCAGGATCTTGATTGACAAGAGTGAGCAGACCTGTAAGAACAAAGAACTCAAAAAAAGACCAATTGATATCGATCCAAATCTCACCGTAGTCAGTATGTTCACCACTAGAAACAAAGAACTCCCAACAGTTAATACTTTTCTTTGGTCGGAAAACGAAGGAGAACTTACCATCCTATTCCAAAACTTTCTGGACTCTCCAGTGAATCTTTCGGTGGATAACCAATGACTCGCAGTATCCAGAATGGATCCCCAGCTCTGGAGCCCTCAAAAGTGTCAGCTTCGCCACCCAAAGCCAGTGCTACCCCTCGCAATATCGCCTTTGACAATCCTACAAAGAAAAACAAAAACGAGAGAAAATAAACTTTTTGCCAGAAAGAAACTGTTTACCTCGCAATTGATCAACGTAATCCTCCATCACTGCACGAAAACGCTTTGGATTCTCTGGCCTGCGAGAAGAGAACGAAATGAAACCAAGATTAACTGCTGCTGGAGCTTTCTACCTTGGTGTTTACCATTGGTTTGGACCCATCACCGTTTTTGCGAGTTCTAGATCCTGGATCTCTGGTCCAAGTTCTCGAAAGTACTGCCAAAGGAGAAATTTCCCCGAGCATGAAAGCTTCGTCAACTTCAATGGAAACCTTACATCAATGGCTTCGTGACAGTCGTGCATGCCATACGATACGTTTTCTCCAAGCTTTTGGTATCCCCTGGTTGAAAAAAAAAAAACTAAGAACGAGGATTTCTAGCTCTTTACCGATAGCCGCTCGAAGGAGTCATCTTGATTCGCATTTTGTCACAGTCTGGAAGCTTGAAAAATTCGTGGCTTAAACTCCGGACATCGTCCATAAGCTCTCGAGAGACGCCATGGCCTGCCTGAAAGAAAAAAGGAGCGAGAAATTTGCTTGAATTCCGTGAAAGTAGATCGATCGATCGATCGCGAGAGTCTAAATCGTACCGCGTAGAAGAACCCAATGTTCCTGCAAGCGTGATCGAGCTGCTCGATCACGTCTCTCACATCCGGAAAAGCGCCAAGGCCGGGATCATCGAATCGCCTCACCAGTGGCTCCACATCTGGAAAAACGCAAGCGTGATAGATGGAAATCTTGCGCGCGCGAGAGGAATTTGGGAGCGTACCGATTGTAGGAATGGAGTCGAGAGCGTGGGGCGCCATAGCCAGACGATGCCGCTGAATATGCCCTAGATAGAATATTCGTTATTTTGGTGTCTGTAAGCCCTAATATTAGTTCCTTTACTAGATTGAAAATCTCTTTACTAGATTGAGTAATTATTTTGATTAACTAAAGCTACAGATTTTAGTATCTCTTGTTGTCATAGCTTCTAAGGTGACCTCTAAAACAATCCAAGCTTATCCAGCCTAAGCCTCCATGATGACAACCCAAAACATGTATTATAACTAAGAAATGTACTGCAAACAGGTATTTAATTAAAGTATATTTTCCTAATTATTTTAAACTAATCTGATACTGCAAATGCATTGTTTGTGGTCCCAAATTGCTCCTTTTCAGTGAATTATTGTCAAAGACAAAGCCCATGCCTGGTAGAAACACTGTGATGAGATAGCTGTAAAACAAAAAATAGCCTCAGTGTAAGTTCTGCAAGCCTTACCACAAACTGATGTCTGCCACCAAAAAGTACTACTTGGACAAAGTTTCAAATTAAACTCCCACGTGGCATCATCGCCGTCGCCCGTTCTCACACTCAACGGCTGCGATCCGCCCAGGCGCCAGACTGTTGGTGTCAGTCGTGAAACAGTTTAAAAACAATTTTCCCGCATTAAAAAAGTTTTTTTACTCTTGTTCAAAAACACTGGGACCAATAAACTACCCGGGAAAAATCCCGGAAATTTGATTTTCCCCAGTGTGAAAGCGCCCTCTCATATCGTGGGTTTCAGCGTGGCCGTCGGATGGAGGGCATCGACGGCCAGGATGGGGCCACCGAGGCGGGAAAATAAAGGGCAATGGAGTCTAGTTAGTGTCTCTCGTGTGTTCTTCGAGCGTGTGTGAAAGAGTGAGAGCACCGAAAGCTTTGGAGAGAGTTTTCATTGCATGTGAAAGCTCTTGGGGATTTTTATTTCGAGTTCCAGGCTCCGGCAGCGGTGAGGAGGAGAGGCGGCGGCGGCGGCGGCGGCGCTCGATTTCACGGCGATGGCGCTTGCTCCAGGTGATGCGGTGCTGGATCGATCGATCTAGCCCCGCGTCGTGCAGCCGGCGGGGCTTGGTAGGAGCCGAATCGCCACTTCGCAAGCGCTGTGTCGGTAATATTAATTGCTGCTGCTGCTCGATCTCTCCTCGTTTGCTTTCTTCCATATTTCGATCGATCTCTTCCCGCTGTGCTTGATTTCTCGTTGTGCGTCAGTGCTGTGGGGACCAGGAGTGTGGATTTCTTTTTTCATTCTCTCGCTTTTCTCTCTCAAGTGATCTAGCCAGTGTTTTAGCTCGATAGTCTCCTCGCAGTTCTTCCAAACCCTGCCACTCTTTTTTTTCCTTGACATTCCTCCTCCATACATAACAAATCTCCCTTCTTTTCCTTCTCTCCTCATCCCTGAGAGTTTTAAAAATCTGGTGTGCCAGTTTCTGTTTGTCTGTCTGCTTCCACTCCCTTCTTCTCTCTCTTCATCATCGAAATTCCTGTGCTGCGCTTATCCTAAGCTGGGTTGGCTCTCAAATCTCCTAAGAGGCGGCCTAGCAGCAGCGAACTGGAATCCCACGATCATGCTCAGACGTGCTGGCAGGAGTAATGTCCGGTGTAGCTAGCTGGGCCGAAGCAGGGAAGAGGGTAGTGAGCAGCTCTTGAGGATGACGAGATCTAGCAGATGGCAGGAGGCAGGCAATCTGGAAAGCTTTGGGCACAGGTTATAGACTCGAGAAGATGGTGGCTGTAGCTCAGTGACGGCAAAGTCATCTCTTAAAAGTTCCAAGCTAGCACGACTCAGCAGGCAGGTAGCCACTGATCACTCTCGAGGACCACTCTCGAGAGCAATGGATTTGGGTGGCCATGAAGAAGACATTCCCATTCCAATTTCAGCGCAGTTCAGTGCCGCGGCGATACACGAGACTGCAGCCAAGCTCAAGCTCCTGGCGAGTGGGAATGGAACGCCAGCGGCTCAAGTGGGAAGCGGCGCTGCAGTCGTAGTCGTCTCCGGAGAGGCGGGGGCGGCGGCGGCGGCGGCAGGGGGTGACAGCAAAAGCAAGCGTCCAGTGAGGTACACGCAGTGCTTGAAGAACCACGCCGCGGGTATCGGCGGGCACGCTCTGGATGGGTGTGGAGAATTTATGCCGTGCGGAGAGGAAGGGACGCTGGATGCTCTCAAGTGCGCTGCCTGTGACTGCCACCGCAACTTCCACCGGCGGGAGGTGGAGGGCGAGCCCTCTTGCCTCGAGTGCCACCACCGGAAGGACAAGAAGCGGCTCATGCTGCCGTCGAGATCAGGGGAGCTGGACGATCAAGGAGTCTACATGCCAAACGCTGGAGGGCCTAATCTCAAAAAGAGGTTTAGGACGAAGTTCACGGGAGACCAAAAGGAGAGGATGCTGGCATTTGCGGATAAGGTGGGCTGGAAGATCCAGAAGCACGACGAGGCCGAGGTCCAGCAGTTTTGTAACGAGGTGGGCGTCAAGCGTCACGTCCTCAAGGTGTGGATGCACAACAACAAGCACACGCTGGGGAAGAAGATGTAAGCTAAGCTGGCCAGCCGGGGGGAGATCATATATCTCAAGAGGTTTCCTCGTCTTCTTTAGTCGCTTCGTTTGAGAGGTACATTGTTTTCTTTCTCTCCATTTTACTTTGCATTCTCAACTCTAGCTTTTGTCTGTGGGGAAGCTGCAGCGAGAAACGCTTCAGGTTCTACCGCAGGGTTTTCTTTTAAAAACTTGACTCTCACCAGGCAAGAAAAGCATTCACTTGCTGATCAGAACTCCTTATGTTTTCGTTTGGCTTTCGCCATTCCATGCTCTAACGTTTTTGTAATTACATGTTCTAGGTGGTGGTGGTGCTACTGCTACCTGTTTATGTTCTAAAGACTCGCTCTCGCTCCATCTCGTGCATGCGTCTCTTAAAGTTTGGGTGCGTTCTCGGCTCGCTGCGAGAGGGAATGAGATCTCTTCGGTAGGAACTTTCGGTAGGAACTTTGTTGAGCTTTCTTTCTGTTTGTCTCTGCTGCTTGCTTCGCTTCAGGAACCCTTCGTTGGTTTTTCCATCTTGGTTTCAAAGCTTGGTGTGGTGATGATCAGCTGAGTTTCTTCTCTTCACTCTGACGTTTCCGGCAGCACGCCTTCGCTGCCTTGTACACTGTTCCGGAGGCGTGAAGGTGGAAATCAAATCCAATGCTCCAGACTGGACGCGGCGGTGCAGCACACTTCATCATTTTCGGCATCAGACACCGAGACGGAGAGCGAGCAACAAAAGGTGACTGTTTTTTTCCTCTCGTTTTCTTTCGAGCCTTTTAAATGAACGTTTAATTGGATCAAAGTCTTCCCCAGCTACTAATTCAGTCGTTGCTTTCGTTCGCAGAGCGAGCTTTAATCGCACATGTTTGGACGATGTATTAATGCACAGCTTACAAAAGGGTCGACGGAACGGACCCCGGGCCCCGGCTTGCCAGGCAGGGAAAGGACTGTCTGTGCTCACTTGAAATTTTGGTTTCAGGTGATTGTCATGCACGAGACCTGGCTGGCTGCTGGCCGCTGGCTGCAACAGCGCTCTGCACCACCACCTCATTGGAAAACGCAAAGGTTCTCCCTCTCTCTCATCTCGTTTTCTTTTGCAATTTTTTTCCACGATTTACCTTTTGCTTTTCGGGTGTAGGAGTGTGACCCTGACACACCGTCGCTTTCTCTGGCCTCACCGCAGCAGCGTCTCGCTGCGCTGCCACCGCCACAACCATTTGCTAGCTCGGACAGCTACGCGGCTAGGCTGCTTTGTCCCGTAAGTTTCAAGTAAGCTTAAGCTGGTGGCTAACTCTTCCCGCGCATAAATCCGTCCTATCAGGTCAGAGCTGCATACTTTGCATCGTTATTCTTGTGCCCGGCATTCGCATCGGATCCTGCCTGTGTTCTGTGAGACCTTCCAGCTTTTGTCACTGTACTGATCTTTGCTGGCCTTTCGAGGGTTGGCCGATTGGAGAAAAGAAAGAGAAAGTGAGTAGCAAATCATGGTGAGCGTGTCGTGCGTGTGCTGGAAGTGCTGCTGCTTGTAGCGATGTGAGATATCACAGATTTCTTTTAAGCCCAGGTGTGGTGGTGGTTGCTCCCGCTCATGATGCTAAATCCATGAACTCATGACACACGCACAATAAACAACGGCTAAGCCCATTCGCTCAGGTCAGTAATTGTCAAGTCGTTGTTTTGTTTTTAAGTCAATTGGATCTGATGGTCTCGCGCGCAGCCGACAAGAGTGGTAGCTAAAGATCAGCCAAACGAACCCCCGGCGACCCGAGCAAGCTGGAGCTAGTAACGGACTACCTGAATGTAAGTAAAAGTAGCTATGCCGGCTTTGTTTTGTACTTATGGATGGTTTTCTTGTTGCTCCAGTAGCTGGCCAGCCAGAGCTGGACTGGATGGACGAACCAAAAGCAAAAAAAAAAAAAAAACGCTGCCTCGCTCAATCAACTTCACAGCTTTAATAGGTAAATTCTAGTTTTGCTCCACTGGATTATTAAAGTAATCCATGCGTTTGTGACGTGATCGTGGGGTGGTACAAATTCAACCACACTAACCACTGCCATGTTCTCTCGCCAGGACTCGTATAATCTCGGACGCGAGAAGGCAGCAGCAACAACAAGAACGAATAAAATAGGAGGTATTTGTCGTATGGTTTGTAGGACAGGCTTTTTCCTCCCCACAAAAAGATCTGATTCGCCACAGTGGTGCTGGTGGTGGTGTGGTGTTCTTCGCAGGGAAACACAGAGAGAGAGAAAGCGAGAGAAATAATATAAAAGGGCCAAAGAGTCAGATTTCTAGAAGATCCCGGGCAGCGAGCGGGTGTTTGCGAAGAGCACTTGCGTGTTTTCCTGGCTAGAGGAAGATGCTGTCCTCGGCTGGCTGTGGCAATCTTTTGTTGTGGCTGGCGGCCATCTCTTTTCTCAGCTGCGTTAACACATCTTCCATCGTGAAGTCCGGCTTCCAGTCCGCAAGCATCGCAAAGCTCTTGCTGTCAATCTGTAAAGAAAAAATGCGTTAGCATCTTCTCCTCGACGGGGATCGAGACGATGGAAACTGAAAGGAAATTGACAAATCTACTGCATTTAAATCTTCTCTTTAGCTCTCTAGTGACTGCGGTGACTGCTATCGATCTATCTATCTAGTAAAACGCGAAAGCTCTCTCTCGGGCGAGTGAAAAGGAGAGGCAAGGAACAGTATAGCTGTGCTTACTTCCTCGCCAATAGTGTGAGTGTACTTACCAGTCCAGTTTCCTGATTCACGCACGTCATGTTGATCCTTGACTGGAACTTCACGCTCGGGGGCTTGCTCGGGTAGTCATCGTCGCAGTAAAGCTTGAGCTGGTAGATGCGACCCTCGTGAACAGACTACAAGAAAAACCAGGCATTAAATCCGGGACACTGGAACAATTAACTTAAAACAAGCACTTACGTCGTAAGGGCCCAGGATGGTTCCTCGCCAGGAATACATGAGCAAATCGTCGGCGTCGTCCATTCCTAAGCTCACCGCGGGATCGCCCAGTCCTTTCTCTCCTCGCTCCAGCTCGTCGAGCAATCTAAAGTTCCTGGGAACTGCACACTAGCACGCAGCAAAGCTGAGACAATGCATGCCTCCAGAGAGAAATGATGCAAGGGAAAGAGTTTTACTACTGACCGTGTACTTTGGCTCGAGACATGCTTCCCTGAGCTGCTGCTGCTGCTGCTGCTGCTTCCTCCGGGGAGCCTTCCTGCGGCTCTTCCTGAACGTTCCGTCTTTGTCTTTTCCAGAGGATCATATCCGGGAGCTGCTGAAGCAGGAGCACACAGTCGGCGACGATCGACGAGAGCTTCGAGATTTCGACTCGCACTATTGAATCTCGTCCCAAGGACGCCTGTTTTGTGCTTCCAGGGACCCGCTGTCTCTCTTTTTCCCCACCAACACAAGTTCGCCTGCCCGAATCATAGTTAAGTCCAACGCCACCGTGAATGCCATAAAACTCCTTACCTTGATGATAGTTGCGTGAGTAGTGGTTCTCAGTGCTAAGTAGCTTAATGTTTTCCGGGTTGAATGAATGTTTTTGCACTAAACTTGGGACAATGATTGGTGCATACTTCTATTAGGAAACAAAACCTCTCCATCATGATTAAGCTAGCTTAGAAAATCCTATTACACTAAACCCAACACGCATTAGAAGCTCGCGAAATAGAAAACAACTCCCTGCTTACCTGGGGCCAGTTGATCCAGAGAGACAAGCGCAATAAACAAAGTGCATCGTGAAAACGACTGCCGGAAAAAAATGGCTCACTTCGCTGGCGGATTGGTACCACCACCAGAAGCACCAGGCGGAATTCTTTGACCCTTCAGCCGAAGGAATGAGATGTTTCAATTCATCCTTGACAAGCGCAGCAGCGAAATCATTGCTTGTCTTGACCTGTGGAACTAAGTTTTTAGAAGAAAGCTTGCATTTCAATCACGCAAAACTCTTCGGAGCTTACCTTCAAAGCGGCATCTGGCATTCTCCGCAAACTAGTGGAGTCCAGATGTAAGAGATATTGCTCTTGTTCCACACATGATCTTCCGGGAGCGATTTTACTGGATCCGATGACTTGCTTAAGAAGCTTCTTCGGTGCGGTCAAGGTTGTGTTTCAGTCGAACCTCCATCTGCGTGGTTGTATCCCACGCAAACAACTTGTTTAGAGCAGAAAGAGCAACTAAGTCAAGAGTGAATGTCCAAAGTGCTGCGTGTTTTACCAAATGACCGCAAGTCTCACATAACGGCCCCACGAGCAGATACCATGACAAGGAAACTTACGGAAATTGACAGGCATGGACCACTGAGTCGCCACCCCCGAACATAAATACAAGCAGTCCAGCTCCTTCGTAGCACCGAATTCATCTTGTTTGGTTGCTTGCATTATTCTCCCTACAAACCAAAAACATCAATTCCTTGCCAGAAAATATCATGAAAAAAGCAGCCAAAACCTTGTGTGTGGCTATAGCATCTCTTGTGATATTGTCGGCAAGTACTTGTGCGCAGCTTAGCCCTTCATTTTACAACGGTACTTGTCGCGATGTGTCTCATGTTGTTTGGAAAGTGGTGTCTCAGGCTGTTGGAAATGAGAAACGAATGGCAGCCTCCCTGCTAAGGCTCCACTTCCACGACTGCTTTGTCAATGTAAGGAGCCGCTAACCTTTAGAATTCAGTGCTTCAAATTGTTTAAAAGTAACACTCACTTGTGCATTCGCCAGGGATGCGATGGCTCCGTTCTTTTGGATGACACTGCAAGCTTCACGGGAGAAAAGTCGGCAGGACCAAATAAGAACTCTTTACGAGGATTCGAAGTCATTGATGCTATCAAGAGCCAATTGGAGAGCCAGTGTCCGGGAATAGTCTCCTGCGCGGATATCGTAGCACTGGCAGCACAAACTTCTGTCTTCATGGTAAGATAGTGAGTTTTTGAACCATAGAGGAGGAGAAACTCACGTATATGTTGCGCTATAAACAGCTCGGAGGTCCAGGATGGGCCGTTCCTTTGGGACGGCGAGACAGTACCACGGCCAGCCGTGATGCAGCCAACAGCCAAATTCCACCCCCGGTTTTCACAGTCTCGGAGCTCACATCCGCATTTCAGGCCAAGGGTCTGTCACTTAAGGACATGGTCGTGTTGTCCGGCGCTCATACTATCGGTGCTGCGCAGTGCTTTACTTTCCGCAACCGCCTCTATAGCTTCAACAGCACAGCCGCTTCGGATCCAACCATCGACGCTTCGTTTCTAGCAACTCTCCAAAGCAGCTGTCCCAAGGAGTCCGGTGATGACCAGCTTTCAAACCTGGATGCTGTAACACCCAACCGGTTCGACAATCAGTACTACAAAAACTTGCAGAAAAATAAGGGACTGCTGACGTCTGACCAGGAATTGTTCTCCGGCACCGGCTCGGACGCAGCGACACTGGTGAGCTCGTACGCAAGTAACCCGCTCACATTCTGGCGGGATTTCAAGGAGTCGATGATCAAAATGGGAGACATCAGCCCTCTCACAGGCACAAACGGAGAGATCCGTAAGAACTGCCACTTTGTGAACAGTTGAGGTATAGTACGTAGATCAAAATGAAATCAAAAGGAAAAAGGACTAAACTCCACATGTACCTTGGGAGGAACTCCCTCAACAACAAAATTTGGATGGTCCTGCCAAATAAATGTCATATCAGTCACAAGAAAATAAAAATAAAAAAGCATACTTACTTGTCTGCTGTGGATCACAAAGAATAAACAAACAAAAGCAAGAACATAGTCATAGTATCGAGATTTACGAAGTCTTATTGGATGCCAAAAGGATACAGTAAACTCTACTGTGCCCGTACCGGAGGTACTTCACCCCCTCCGAGCACCAGTTTCACGTACTATCATACAGTGCGTGGGCGTTCCTCGAGCACGCTGGGCTGTTTACAGCCATGCTCGTCTTCGCTTTGCTGGGAAAGACACGTCAGGAACCAAGAGCGAATCGTCAACCTCTGGCACGACAGCCATGCCAAGTTTGGATTTTCCTTTTGCGGGGGGAAGCTTAGAGGCAGGCATGGTTGACGGAGTCATCTGTGGAACCTCGTGGAACGTCTCCGCGTAAGACTGCTCGTCAAACAGGCTCAAGTCTGCGAGCCAGTCATACTCTCCAAGGTTTCCAGCTTCGGCCTGGAAGAAACAGCGAATAATCAGCTGCCAAGAAAGAAAACTTGGTAAGCTTTACCTTGGATGAGCCAATATCGCTTAGAGAGTATCCGGAAGCCATGTCTGGAATGTTTAGCAACTCGTCGACACGCCAACCAGGGACCGCTTCGGTTAAATATTCCGAAATAGTACTACTAGTGCTCCGTTTTTCCATGACAGTCTCCGGCTCTGCTCTCGAGACTGTTTCAAACCTCTCCGGTGTGCCATTGGCCGAAAGCGAATTTCCCGACGAACTGGCTCCTGAAGCCGAGGCGTTCTTCCTGGGTTGCTGCGGAGTCACAGGCGGTACTTCGAGAAAGTCTTGGGCAGAAAGAGCACTGAGAGCCACTCTAACACCCGTGACTAGAAACCGGTTGTGGCTGGAAGCGTGCGCGTTGGACGAGTGTATGGATACGTCGCAAGCCCGGCAAAGCAAAGCGCGATCCTCGACACAGAAAAACCAGCCGGTTTTCTCCTAAGCAAACTAGGAATTAGAACCTCCCAATCAAATGAGAAGAAGAAAAATCGTCACTGGCTAGATACCTGGCAAATGTCGCAAATAGGAGAAGTCCCAGAGAAGCTCAAAGGCAAGCGCTGATGCTTCCCAGCGAGCTTGTTCGCCGCATGGACCTCGGCATCGCAAGCGGCGCAGAGCGCAGCTTCATCGGCGCAGCACACCAGAGCGGCCTCGGCCTTCTCACAGACATCACATTGTATCCTCATCACCGTCTTTCTCTTGCCACAGTCACTCCATGCACTAGCTACACGGAAATCCCTCCCAGATGTGAGCACCGACCGAAATATTTCTCTAGCACTGTGAAATACCTGGAATTTCGATCGCAGGACGAGCAGCGCCAACGGCCAAGCGCGCCTACACAACTCGGCGCCGCTGTGTAGATGATTCCAGCTCCAAGAACCCTAGCCTAGCTCGCGCTGCCATTGCTAACCAAAGACACATGGCATCGTTTCCATGCCACGGATCTTTTAACCTGATTTTTTCCGGGCCACAGGAACCACAAAGTGGACAAGCCATCCCCAGCGAATATTCTCCAAATTTTTTATTTCGTCAAATCTAACTTTTTCAACAGGTTAAAACTCCTTTTTCTAAGATTCGCTTTGGACATTTTATTTATCTCCATGGAAAAGGTGACAAATAATTCTCAAGGTTTACCTCCATATCCGTACCCGCCATTCCCATTGCCGTACCCATACCCGATTGGAACACCGCCAATCGTGACGCCGCCACCGCCACCGCTCGGCCCGCCAAAGCCTCCGCCACAAACCGGCCCCCAGCAGCCGCCGCCGCCACCACCATGGGAGTTTCCGTACCCACCGCCGCCAGCGCCCGGGGTGCCGCCGTACCCGCCGCCACCACCCCCATTGCCGTATCCCGCGCCGCCCGCGCTGGGCGTTCCGCCGTATCCGCCCCCGCCCTGGGAGCTCCCGTACCCGGCACCACCCGCGCTGGGAGTTCCGCCATAGCCGCTACCTCCCTGGGAGTTTCCGTACCCGCCTCCTCCAGCCGATTGCGTGCCTCCAGCGCCTCCGCCCGAGTACTCCTTGGTGGAGCTGGAAGTGGAGGACGAGGATTTGGAGACCTCCTCTTCGAGGATTCGAGAGACCCGGGCATCTGCGACGAGGATCATTCCAGCCACAGCCAGCAACGCAAAGAGAAAGATCTTGGTCCCCATTGAAGATCCCCGCGATAGCATCGAGGAATCACACGAAGAACACTCTCTAGACAGTCGATCAAACCCGGGAGAACTCCCAAGAGAACTCCTGTCCTAGACGAAGAAAAAGAGAGAATAGACTACCACTGGCCTGTGATTGAATACACCACCAGCGGCGCCTTCTTTATACTCCCACTATATTCCAAAGCGCCATTGCATTGAATGCACTGTTAGCCCATCGAGACCAAAGCGACCAGTGTGTGTAAAAAAAAGGACCATTTCTTTCCCCCGCAGTTCCCCGCCACCTTTTTTACGTGTCCGCATATGCCCGTACGCAGGCTTTACCGCTGTCCGTACCCAGGAATTCACGATTTACCCGGGGGGAGAATAGAATCCGACAGCGTCCAGATTCCCGTGTGAACGATGCTTAGTGTCGCGTAGCCAAATGGGACGAGTCAGACCCGGTCAACCGCTGGGTCAATGTGAGTCAATGTGGGGCATTTAACGATTGTGTTTGCATGTGAGCCTGGGATATTGCCATGCAACCACCGCCACCTTCCCCCACCTTTGGACATAAATACCGCCATGGAAAAACAATGACTTTTGATGGTAAAAGAAGATAAAATGGTTTACCTTTTCCCCCCATCAAACCGTATATTCACATTTATTGCGCGGCTCAAGATGGCAAGAGCTCGTTGTCAAATTTGTGGTGGCGACTGCAACTTCGCTATCAAGTGGTTGCGCTTATTGACATAAAATGAATTACATACAAAACTATAAGGTTTAGCGATGTTAGTTCTATGATGCAAGCGGAAACAAAAAGGAAACGCTACATGTAAGATTACACACCTAGTTTGCAGGCTCGGCTGTTCCATCATGGAGCGCACAACAATTCGCTGCTTTCGAATGCCCTTGATAAACTTTGATTGCCTCTCCGGTTGCTAGCTCCCACAGCCTTGCAGTTTTATCAGATGATGCTGGAATTTACACAAACATAAGTACGAGTCAAGGAAAAGAATAAGTGTTTCTGGCTTGCCTGTGACGAGAAATGCACCATCGACTGAGAACACACAGTCCCACACCCAGGCGGAGTGACCTGACAGAAAGTTGCATTTTGTGAGACAACACAGCTCAACGCAAAAAGCAGACCTGTCAAAGTACGCTCCAGAGTGAAATTGTTGATATTCCAAATCTTTACGGTGTGATCGGCTGATGCCGTCGCCAGGTACCTGCAAAAGTTTTGAGTTGGCTCAAGAGCAGGCTGTAGAAAACAAAAACGTCACGCTTACTTGTGGTCCTCGTCACAGTATTCGGGAGACAAGAGGCACTTGAGGATGTACGTGTTGTGGGCTTCTAACTTGTGCAACGGATCAAACTTGGTTAGCAGCTGCCAGGAAAAACAAAATGTTCGTGAGCGAGGAAGAAAACGCAAAGGGAAATGGTTTTTTTGTTGGTACCTGTGTATCCTGACGCAAACGCCATACATAACAAATCCCACGATTATTAGCTGCGACCACAATGTCCCACATGACCGTCAGCGATCTTATGGCCATGTCGACCTCAGGAACCTGACAAGAAGGATTAGAATTGCGTCGCAAAAAAATCACAAAGAAAATAAATAAAAAAATGAAAACGAATAAACTATACCAGCTCGCAGCTACATGAGTTTGCAGTCAAGTCCCACACCCTGATGTTTCCATTTTGATCGCCAGAGATAAGCTCTTGCTGTTGTCACAACAGAAAGAATACATAGAAACCTCTAGAGACCATTTTTGCAAACCTGGTTGGGGTGGAGCACGACTGTGTTTACTGCTGCTCGGCTTTCATATTCCATCTGACAGCCAGGTGCACTGCGAAAAGAAAGGAAAAGTATAAAAACTCGGGACTATGCCGATGAAATGAGTTAGAACTCACCGGAGATCCCAGATCTTCACCGTTCCATCCTCCGATCCAGAGTACATCCATTTTCCATCACACTGGAAACCAATGGCTGTCACGTTACTGGTGTGAGCATCATAGTTGAGAACCTGTAGAACAATGTACAGTGAAAAAAAAAAAGTAAAGAGAAGAAGCTACCGACTGGTTGAGGATTGCTGGAATTTATTTCGAAGAGCCGGATGTTAGGATTGCCAGCAGCAGCGAGGAAATGCTTGTCGGGAGTGATCTCGAGCTTATTCACTTGCTGCAGAGACGAGAAATTCGCAAGGATCGCGAGAAAAAACCAATTTACCGAATCGGTGTACTGCAAGACGCGATAGCAGCGGCCGCTCGTCGCCTCCCAGAAGCGGATCGTGTGATCGTAGCCCGCTGTGGCCAAGATCACCGAGGGCTGTGGCATTTCTCCCGCTACTCCATCCACACAAAAAGAGAAAGCCCTAAACCCTAGTTCTTCGCAATGGCACTATCTCCCAAACTATTGCTCCAGTGGAAGGCGCTCCAAGGCCATGGCGGCAATCGATTGGTATGTTTCTCGTCTAGAGCGAGAGTCTTCTGCGAGAATGCGCTCGATCCATCGCAATCGAAGCTCGTGAGCGCCTACATTGACAAGCTTCTCGTTTGGAACCAGGTTAGAGAGATTTCTAGAAATTTTTGTGTTCTTCGACTCATCCCATTCATTCGTGCTTCCAGCGTATGAATTTAACTTCCGTGACAGACCGTAAGGAAATGATGGAAAGGCACATAAGAGACTCTCTTTCACTTCTTCCAGTGATTGAAAAGCACTGCTCACTGAGCGATGGGAATTTGAAGGTGGTCGACATAGGCAGTGGTGCTGGTCTTCCAGGAATCATTTTTGGTATTGCAAGACCAAGTAAGTCGTAGTTCCTAGGATATATCTTTTCTCCGATAACCAACGTAGATGATTCCTGTGGTGTTGTGATGCAGACTGGAAAATTACGCTGATAGAATCCATTCAGAAAAAGTGTGACTTCTTAGAGGACGCTGTGCTCGCTGTGAGTTTACAAAATGTTAGCGTCGTTCGTGCAAGGGCAGAGGTAACTATTCTCAAGCTTAAGATGTTTGCTGGTGATTTTTTATGAGTTTAGTCAGGAAAAAGGACGAGATGCGGAGTTTCGTGAAACTTTCGATGTAGCAGTGGCAAGAGCTGTCGCAGAAATGCGAGTTCTCGGTGAGTTTTTAATGTCCTGAGAAGTGTGTTTAAAAAACTTACGAGTTCATGACATGGTGTAGCCGAGTTGTGCTTGCCTTTTGTTGCCGCTGGAGGAATCATGGTTGCCGCTAAGGGTGCCAATCCTGAGGTCTGTTTTCGTCTTAGAAAAGAGTTCACGTTCTTGATCGGTTCTTGGTGGATCAGGAGGAAGTTAAAAGCGCAGAAGAAGCTATAACGCTTTTGGGAGGATCATGTGCAAACATTATTGAAGGTTCCAAGTTTTATTTCCACTATTGCCAAGGAGTTCTCATCATACTTTCTTTCGATAGTTGATTCTGAAAGTCCGTTCGGGACCAGGACTGCAGTTGTGTGCCTGAAAGCTACTCCCACGCCGGAGAAATACCCAAGGAGACCAGGAGCACCTAGCAAACGACCTTTGGGATTCAGAAGCAAGAGAACCGAAGCTGGATAAGATCATCTAAGAACTGATTCTCGAGGGAAGTTCTACCAATTTTTTTACTGTAAGTCTCTTGTTATATCTTGAAAGACACAGGAAGTTGGATATCTAAACAACTGATCAGAAGGTAAAGACTTCTTATTGATTCTCCAGGAACATAACATTTCTTTCAGTGGTAGAAGAGCTTGGCAATGACTTTGATGATGAAAGTAGCACCATCAATGGAGAGGCTCGCGATTCCCCTGGCGAGCTCGAAGTCCCCGGTGCTTCCAACCACAGATATGTCCCTCGAAGGCCAGAGAATCACAATGAAGTTGGTTTTGCCATTAAACTCGTTATGGCTGTCGATGATCGAGAAGACAGACATGGCGTTAAGAGCATTCCCAGGTTGAATCTGAGTATAGATGTAAATTCCCTCACCCGGTCTTGGATGTTTGCAGTGCAAAACCCAGAGAGATTATCATTAAAGACGATGACCTCCCAAAGTCGATGCCTGTGATGTTGTGACCCCGGCCGGCCACCTCTTGGGAGGCGTCACCGGATGGATTGGTGGTGTTTTGGAGAGTGTCGCGGAGAGATGAGGGTCTCTTTGGAGGAGCGGCAGTGATTTGAGAAGCTGTGATCATCATCACCACAAGAAGAAGAAGATAGCGGAGCTCCATGGATCAGAGACTACTTGGGAAAACAGGCATCTTTGCATAAATATTTATTTAAAACTAGGAGGATAGTTATTAGTATGATCACTATATGGACTTCTTGTCATGCTATACTGTAGTTAAAAAAAAGAAAGTAAGTTATATACTGTAGTTAAAAAAAATCCTTTGACCTCATCTATAAATTATGGTCTAACTTAACTTTTTATTAGAATGCGTGATCGAGGGCAGCGGCTTGCGGTGAGAGGTCAGGTGTGATGGGCCAAGGATTTGAAGAACCTGGTCTTTATCACACCTATTCCTCCTCCTTGCGCCCGGGGAGAACGCACATCAAAATCGACTGTGGTACTGGGGACATCGATTTTCTTCTCCCCAGGGATGAGCTGATTGATGTTATTGAGTGCGTCTACCGGGCGGCAATAAAAGGTCACGCCATTGCCGTGTCTCCTAAGGCTTATTGAACTTGCTGCATCTTATGCTCGCAATCCTTCTCAAGGTACATCTTCGCGAAACATTACTATTATTATTATTAATCTCTAACCTTCTAACGTATGATCGTTGAAAGTTCTACAAAGGGTCATATAAGGAGCAGCACTGTGCGGCTCTAGCTCCATCACTCTGTTCCCAGATCTAAGACCTCGTCTTGTGTCGCCATGGACTCGACAAGCTCCCATAAGAGCCGTCCAAGAGATGGAATCCGGGAAGAATGGCATGTTGTCTAAAAGGTCCTGAGCCATTTTCAGCTGCCCTGCTCGAGCAAGGCTGTCAATCACGCAAGAGAAATGCTTCAGCCTTCGTCTCAATCCATAGTCCATGCTCAAAGACACCAAAAAGTCACGACTCCTGCCAGATTCACCTTGACGGGCACAGGCGGCCAAAACTCCAGTGAAAGTAATCTCATCACACTCCACTCCATGGATTTGCAGCAAGAAGAAGAGGTCCAGAGCTTTAGAAGCAGTACGCCCAACAGAGGCATACGCCAGGATCAAAACATTCCAGGATACCAGGTCTCTTTCGTCCATCTCGTTAAAAGTTTTCCTTGCAAGGTCTAGTTCACCGCAAGAGGCATATGCTTCTATCATGGCGGTGCACGCTACGACATCTCTAACCGGCATCTTTTCTAGCAAGTGCCGGCCAGCTTCCAGATGCCCGTTCCGAGCATATGCTGTTACAATGGCGGCCCACGAACAAATATTGTGCTCTGGCATTAGATTCTCAAAGACACCCATGGAATTTTCTACAATGCCATGCATGGAATATGCCGTCAGCATGGCTGTGTATGTGACAATGTTCCATTCTGGCATGCTATTAAAAAGAGCGCACGATTCCTCCAGATGCCCAGCTTCTGAATACGCTGTGATCATGGTTGTCCACGACACGAGATCTTTGTTGGGCATTTTCTTAAAGAGCGCTTGGGCCTCTAAATATTGGCCATGCTTGAGGCAAGCACTGATCATTGCGTTCCATGAAACTACACTCCTTTGAGGCATTGCATCGAAGACAACCCTGGCATTGTGTAAATCTTGAGCTCTGCTGATCAATTTAGTCCAAGTAACAATGCCTTGGCTCATGTTTTAAACCATTACTCAAACATTCAGTGAAGTATGATGTTGAAAAACTTAACAGTGATTTTTTGGATATTCAGATTTATTCAAATTTATAAGTATTATAAATTTCCTTAAATACCAAGTAATATGGTGGATGTTGAGTGCATTGAAAATTTGAATTTTCAAAGGATATAAGGGAGAGTTTACTGAAGACTAGTCTTCTTAATATAATGTGTCCTGTCTCATGCGTCTTGATGGGTCACTAAACCCTGTAAACAGATAATGAATAAATGAACCTCTATTTGTCTTTTAAGGTTTGTGACTAAGCCATTGGGCACTAGCTCCATTTGAAGTACCAATATTATTATGCCAACTTTATATGTAAAGTTTTAACCTATTTGCCATCCTGTAAAAGGGCATGCATGTTATGGATCCACAAAAATCGTCCAGCCCTTGCCGCCTGTCACTGATTATTAAGCAAACCTTGTTTCTTCGCTCACCTTTGGACTGATAACAAAGTCCGTGTACATAAGATGCCAAAATCATGGTCAACTGGTTGAGCTCGAAAGTCTCACTTTGATAAGCAAGCATGGTCCTGTACATAGGAGCTGCAAACACACAAAAAAGCATACAACAAAGTTGATATCAAAGCTGATTAGTTACCACCATATTACTGTCTCCAAGGTCTCCAAGAAGTCTCCTTGCTCCGACAAACGACTGTTTTATCGGTTGAGAGAGTGAATCCAGGCCACTGCTCAGATTGCATGGACAAACGATCCATCAGCACCACCTGAAGTTTTTTCAAACTTGTCAGATGCTACCAGCATATTATGAGGTGCAGAGGGTACGCTTGGATTTCTTAGTCTTCTTCAGGTCTTGCCTACCATAAAAACCCACTAAACGGTCACACGCTACGAGATCTCACACTTAGATTTTGGTCTTCTATACAGGGGTGGCTAAAAATCCAGAAGATAATCCATACCCAGATGTCGGCTTGTTGTCTTACTAAAACTCTGTCACAACATGAAACTCCATGTCAGCATGAACGTCCAACATGTAATGAAACTCATCTAAGCTGTCGAGTCCTGTACTTAAGCCCACTTTGGGCTGCAAAGACTTCTACTTATAACTAGAGATTCAATTTATTATGTGCAAAAGCTTTAATTGTTTTGATTGATTTTCTAATATGTATATTTGTGAGGTACAAGTGTACAACTATGATATTGTATATTAATATTAGCATAGTGAGATTTTGATAATTGTTATATTGGTTTTAATTTGTATATAAATTAGGGTTTTTGGGCTAATTTCACATTTAATTTTTCCTTTTTGTTACACCCTCTTCCTCCTTTAACTCTAGAGTAGTAGTTAGTGTAGTTGCTCAATGCTATGTGGTTGTAATTGAAAAATCACACTCAATTGATAGTAATATTCATGGCACATAGTATAACTTCTTTTACTCTTGCTGCCAATCCTTGCATCTTGTCAGAATTCTTCCATGGGAATCCTAACGATGATGTATACTATTGATTTAATCACTTTATAGTGATTGCCACATATCATTCTTGTGATGATGCTTGGTGTTTACTTAAGTTTCCTATATATCTCCAAGGGATAATATTGCAATGATACAATAGTTTGAGTGTAACCACTCGTGCAAATTGGAGCATTCTCTTAGATGTCTTTATGTATTTAGACATGCTAACAATTGTGATGATGCCTTCAAACAATTGCATTGTCTTTTTCAAGTGCTATCTAAGTCAATAATACAATTTAGCATTTATTTCCAGAGCCTCTTGCTTCATGCAGAGCCAAATATGTCAAAGTGGATTAAATTAAAAATGTTATAATCAACACTTCATCAAGATATTGTACAACTTGTGCATGCACTTGCTCCAATCACCTTTGACAATATTTTTTTCTTAGCACAACATTATGAGATATTACCTCTTCCATTTCTCATTATACATCCTTCAAGTCCACTTTCTCTATGAGATTAATCTTGTTCCAATAAAGGTTGCTATTGATACTGTTTATGTTCAAGGATAAAGGTGAAGATGTGGTTGTTGTCGTGATGTCCACTATTACATGTATGATGAATTTGCTTATACTTATTAGTGTTATCTGTGTTTTCCAGATTGGCAACCTCCATTTTTTGGGTGAAGACCTTGGCATCAATAACATTATGTTGGTGCTACTGCAATGGAAGGTTTAAACACTAAGATGCTTTTGGGAAATGAGGAGTTGCACAAATAACAAATGGTTCTTGCATGAATAAGTTAGTGACTCTTTTATCTTTTTTTTTGGAGTATCATCAAAGGGTTCACTTGGCACCAGTTTATCTAGTGTTTACTTCCAAGCTTGTTTTGACAAGCTTGTTTTAATATATATATATATATATATATATATATATATATATATATATATATATATATATATATATATGCTTTTATATTTAAAAGAGCAAGGGTGGTATATTCAATCTAGATTCATTTCCTTTGTGTGTGGTTTTGTAAAAAGTGGTTAAGATGGTTAACAAAAAAATAGTTAAGGAAGCAAGCTTATTGCATTAGGAATTTGCTCTTTTGCTAAAAGCATTTAGGAAAAGCTTGCTAGATTCTATGTTAGAGATTCATTGTTTTGCATAACAAGACTAATATATAAGTTATTGCTCACTAGAATCAGTTTTATTATGTGCAATTATCTTGTAAAGTTCTACTCTTTCATTTTTTCATCTTTTCTTTGTCTATTCTCAAGAGCTAAATATCACCTTCTCAAGCTGAGGACTGAGACTGATAATTATGTGAAGGTTAATTTGTGGGAACACAAATAGATAAACCTCAAGTGGTAGGAAACTCATTCCATGATATTGTAGGTTTTAATGTTAATTTGCATTTGCAATTTGGCCTATCAAAGTGACAATAATTACTCTTAGCCAATTTTCTATTAATCCTGGATGTAGAAAATGTGGAAAACTGACATTTTCCATAATTTGACAATCACTTGCAATATAAAAAGGAAGAAGAAAAGTGACAGATATGGGTAAGCATTTGCTTTCCTATAGTTACATCTAGGCAAAAAAGTCATTTTCTAGCTGGCAAGATCACAAGTGCATCCAAGAGCAACTAATCACTGAGCAAAAAGTTCTCTTCAAATCACATCCAAGTCCTATCAAACCCAACAATGTCAAGAAGACTGTGGGTCTAGGCATAAGGATGAATAGTGTCGCTGGCGAAAACACACTGGCCAATGGTCATCTATCCATGGGAGGAGGAGGAAGAGCTAGACATGGTTGAAGATAACAACATAGGTTGGTTTGACAATGAGATCACTTTTGTCCCTCAATTATTGCCTACAGGTGCCCATCTTTTGTGTTTTCAGCCGATTGAGAGCCATTGATGCCATTCATCACAGTAGCAGGCTTCCACTAAAATCAATTTCTCTTATGAACTCGGTAGAGTTGACATTGAGAATTAGGTTTGAAATTACATCAAAGGAGACTTTGAAAGTTAGTAACCCATGCAGGCCGAGGGTGTCTATAATCAAACATTGCTATCATATAGAAAATAGCATAGAAAATAGTAATATCTATATATCTTATATCAAATATCATATAGATTCATATACCACAAATATAAATCATGACTTATATATATATATAAAAGTCATATAGGATATATGGGAAATCATGGTGTGACTGAGAAATTGCATAAATCTTTCTATTAACCATAGATGTGACATAATATTATCCGGTATGTATGTTAGTTGCTTTTGGTGCCAAGTTCTTAATATTCCCCTTGTGTTGTAGAAGGACAATTTAGAGTCAATTATAGTTTTGGGTTTATTTGAGTTGGTGGTATTTGATTTGATGGGGCCTTTTCCATAGTCGACTACTGGTAATGAGTATGTCATTTTTGCTTCTAACTATTTAACTTACTGAGTGGAAATGAGTGCTCTTGTTAGTGCATTTGCAATTGCTATTAAATACTTCCTCCTTAATCGAGTGGTGTTCTAGCAATCATGTCTGGAACAAACTTTTTCGGATAATGGTCCTGCATTTATGGTTAAGGCATTTCACGTTTTAATGTTTCAATTAGAGATATGTCACACTTTCACTAGTGTTTATCATCCACAGTTAGATGGTTTGGTAAAACAGCTTATTCAAATCTTCAAAGGAATAATCACAAGATATATAAACTTTTAATATTTGGATTGGGATGGTTATTTACCATCTCTTTGGTATGCGTGTGTCATAAGGGTGTAGAGTTATGTTAGTGCTTTACTATATAAACTTTTATCCAATACTACTGATGAAGTTGAGTTTACCTTCGTGATTGCCACGAGTTATCGATGCTAAATCTTGGTATTAGTATTTGATAAGCATTCTTCCACTAGTCTGAGCAGAGTTTACTAAATACCTAGGCCACATACAAATAAGATAACAACAATATTACAACTCCCATTATCATCCACCTGTAGAGTATAAAATGGATGACTTGGTATTAGTTTATTTTTCCAATCTTATGGTATATGGTTTGTTTAAAGGGCTCCTTCCTCAGTGAAAGGGACTGTATCAAGTGTTGTGGTAACTTAGTTTTATGAGGTTCAGAATAATGTCCAACAAGCTGATCCTCTAAAAATTGTGCATGTATAGTGATTGAAATATTTTGTATAAAGGGATCAAGAACAATTAACACCACTTACAAATCCATTAATGCCTCCTCTTGGTATTCTTCTAGATCCCGGCCCGTCCACTAGAAAACCCTAACTAGCAAATTAGAAAACATTTAAATTTGTATTGATAAAATTCTCTAAAATTGGAATAAATTAAGATCTGAAAATGTTATACAGAGTTTCAATAACATCTATTGTTGTGTGTAAGATGCTGTTAATTTGTAATGGAGAGTAGTCTGATAGACATACTTGGTGTTACATTGAACACC